GAGTTCTTAACCATCGCGCCACTCGGCCGGCCCTCATGGAACAATTCTTAAATCATCTAAGCTAGCACAAATATGCTATAAATTTTCACCCCCATTAATAGTTTAATGACTTGCCATGCTAAATCAAGCCTTTCCGGAGACCAGTCATAAAGCTTTTCAAGGAAAAGCAAATCAGATAGCTGAGCAGGGTTGGGGCCCAATATGATAAACTTCAGATAAAGCCTGTTCATTATAGTATGAAGTTGGTAATAATTAAGATCTACTTTTAAAAATTCCCACATTTTATCATATATACTGTCTTTTAATTCTCATTCCTTGAAACTCTTATTATTTTCATTTTTTAATGAATGAAAACAAGCCATACCTATAACCCAGTGGTTCTCAATGTGGGGTCCCTGACTAGCAGCGTCAGTATCACCTGGGAATTTGTTAGAACTACAAACTCTACTCCATCTCAGGCCTAGCAAATCAGCAACTCCAGGGGTTTAAGGCAGTAATCTGTGCCTTAAACTCTCCAGGTGGTTTCAATCTAAGATAAAGTCAGAGAACAACTGTTCTCACTCATCTAAGCTGCTTGGTTTTCATAACAAATGACCCAAATAGCACCACTTGGTAGCAATTGACCCTGATTATAAACATGTATTTAAAAGACTCAACCATCATTCTGAATTCTGGACTTAAAATCTATACCTATAAAGTGGTGACAGCAACCAACATAAAGAGTATATTCTATTTTTCTTCTGTCAGCATGAAAAAGTGAAGCACTCCTAATTTAACACCTTGAAAGGGGAAGAATAGATGATAATAAAAGCATTTGTATGAGATACTGTATTTCCCCCTAAATTTAATTTTTAATTATACCAGCAAAATATAACTTCTCTTTCTAAGTACTATTCAAACATTACTGATAATGATAGTCTTTGACAACCATCCAAACAAAAGATATAGTTTGGTTTTGTGAACATTGATTTTTAAAAAATGACATCATCCTGTACATATTATTTTACAACGTGCTTTTCTCATTTGACCATGTAAAAAACTCTGCACTCAATTCCACCGTGGAAGGTGGTGTCCAAAACCAACAAGCAATTCTCTGACACTAGCTGGATATCCAGTTCAACTCAATTCTGACACTATTAACCTGGGGATAGCATCAGATCCCACAGGATAAGGGTTCAATTTTACAACATTGCTCCCCACCCCCCTGGGCTCTGACCTTTCCACTATAGATCAGAGGTTCCAATGACCTCCTCCCCGGGTTTGATTAACTTGCTAGAGAGGCTCACAGAATTTAGCAACATCTTACTTACTAGATTACTGGCTTATTATGGAAAGATATAACTAAGGAACAGTCAGATGGAAGAGAGGCATAGGGCAATGTTATGTGGGAAGGCAGAGTTTCTACATCCTCTCCAGGCATGCCACTGTCCCTGCACCTCCCTGTGTTCACCAACTTGGAAGCTCTCCAAATCCTGTCCTTATGGGTATGTATGGAGGCTTCATTACACAGGCATGATTGATTATATCATTGGCCACTGGTGATGGATTCAACCTCCAGTCCCTTCCCCATCCTCAGATGTGAGGCGGGGTGAGACTGAAAGTTCCAACCCTCCAATCCCGTGGTTGGTTCTCCTGGCAATCAGCCCCAATCCTCAGGTAGTTTCAAAAGTCGCATCATTACCATAACAAGAGACACTTTCGCTGCTCTCAACAGGAAATTCTGGGAGCTCTGTGCAGGAAATAGGGATAAAGACTAAATACATATTTATTATAAATCACAATATCACACCATGTGTCTTAGAGATCTTTCTAAGCTAGTACTTAAAGATCTTTTTGAATTTACCAGAATTTATTTACACATTCTCCTACTGTTGAACATTTAGATTATTTCCAATTTTTCATTCGTACCAAAAATACTGCAATGAACAGCCCTGTATATGTCCTGTTGGGTTTCTGAAGTATATTATCAACTCTAACTGAGACAGTAATGTGATTGACATCACAATAAATCTGGATCAAGGCAATTATAAAGCTTACCTAGAATGAAGTGTAAGTTGAAGAGATTTTATAGTCACCAAGATCTCAGTTAAAAAGGTCAAAATTCTCTAAGCCAATAATTTTGGCATCATAGTAGCCACACGTAGCAGAGACAAATGCTAGGTCCAGCTTTGAACCAAAAGGGATGAAATGCCTGGAAAGTTACATATTAGGTCCATAGTTCCCACTACTGAGGATGGAGATAACAAACCCTGACTCAGCACCACCAAGTCCCAGGCACCACTGGAAGCACTTTATAGGTGTGAGCTCATTTAATCCTTACAACCACCTCCTGCAGTGGGCGGTGCTATTATCCCTATTTTACAGGGAGGAAATTCAGGGTGGGCAGTTTAAGTCACTCAGCCAGTAAAGGGTAGAGGTGGGATGTGAACTCAGCTATCTGGCTCCAGAGTCTGGGCTCTTTTCCCATCACAGAGACTGATTTGAAACAAAACCTTTCTCTAAAGGATGTTCACCAATAAGCAAAAATGTAACTACAAATGAGAGGTTGCTATACTTTCATTGTTTGCGAATGGTGTTTTTCTTTTGTTTAATGGGGGCTGGACAGCAAAGGTGGTAAAACAATACAGTTCAGCTCCTTCGTAAACAAGCAGAGTCTATCAAACGACTCTAGGAAGACAGAGGAATATACAAAACATTCTAAAGGACAACCAAGTTAACAGAATAAGAAACAGTGCTGAGCTCAAGTTCAATACTGACACAGCATAGATAGAGCTATTCCCCAAGAAGTGAAGTAGGAAGGTTTTAGCTACTGAGTCTGTCATTTTGCTATAAAATGTGTAAGATATGTTCTACTTTAGTTTCCCAGTGTTGTTTTTAAAAATACATAATGCTATTGCTAACCTTTACGAAATTATTCTTGACAAATGAGGAAAGGCAGAAAGCTAAAGGTGCCATTTTAAAGAATAAAATGAGGGCCGGCTGAGTGGCGCATTGGTTAAGGGTTGGCTTGGGACGCCAGCTCTGAGCAGCAGGGCCCCAGCTCAGATCCCACATGAGGGCCAGTGATGCTGCGCCCTCTACAGCTAAGATGGTGAACAACAGCTCAACCTGGAGCTGGGCAGCTGTGAGTGGCCATCGACAGCGTAGGCTGCAGTGGGCTGCTGAAAGCTACCGTGAGCGGCGGTCCAGAGGCTGGCGAGCAATCTGCCTCACCTGGGAAAAGTACAATGATAATACCAACATGGGCCAGTGAAGCAACGTCCTCCACAACTAGAAGAACAAAAGAACAGCAACTTGTCTGTTCCCCTTCTCTGATTCCCCAACGCTGTTCCCCTCCCCCAATTTCCCAATAAAATCTTAAAAAAAAAAAGAATGAAATGAGTCTTTCTATCGGTGGTTCCATCACCGTATTTCTTTTTGGCCAACCACATTGTCACGGTGCATTTAAATAAATATTTTTGAAGTTCTAGTGCATTTAAGAGAAATCATTAAAGATTTCTTTATAAATCTTAAGATGTTTATATACTTTAATGAGAGAACACAGCATAAAGAATCAAAGTTGGCCCCTTTCCAGAACTGTATGCATATCATGTCTACTTTTACTTCATGGTACACAGAAGCTATCTTATTTAAAGATAAGTGCAGCTACTTTCACTTTTGTAATGGGTAAGACAATGAGTGACAGGAAATAATATGAATTAAGTCAAATGGGGATTGGGATAGATGGGAATAGGAAAAGAAATGTGAAGGATAAAAGAAAAGGAATGTAGGGAGTAAATTAAATGAATGAAAACAAATGACTGGAAAAAGAAATAAGGTAAGAAACAAGACAGACTGTTCGAAAGGGAAGAAAGCAGTCCAGGTCACCTTCTGCTGGGAAGCTGGACTAGGGGAGTATCTAGAAAAACGCTAACTGGAGGGATCTTATTTCGCATTTAACAGGAATTGAGAACCTAGGTCTGGCTTAGACTGAAAATAGAGGCAGGGCTAAACTAGAAAACACTGAATTGAAGGACATGGAGAAAGACTTCACGCCCAAGGAAAACCTCTCAGTAAGGATTGTCTTAAAGTGGGTAAAACTTGGCTCTGTAATGAAGCGTGCACCTGTAATTTATAGGTGTGGAAAATCCTCTCACTAGAGCAAGGAAATCATTTGCATTCTACAACTTGGCTGAATGAGACACTGCTAATGATGAATGGTTAAGAACTGGGGGCAGAATTCCACTCCTGAAGCTGTTTTCTAAACAGGAGGCCTTGTCTTTGACCCCTTAGGAACCAACAGCAAAGGTAGACAGAAAGGATCTCCCATTTGGAATACCTGGGGCATTTCTCTGTGTAGCCATCCCCATTGACTTCCGAGAGTATACCAGGCAGTTCCCAAAAAGTAGTTTGAAAATCTATTATTAAGCCCAAGTGCATTTAGGAGAATGTGGGAGTTAAAGCCAGGACACAGAACATATGTGGCTGGGAAAGGATTGGGAGAACAAAGAATGAACTCTAATCCTGTTCCTTACTTTTCAGCTTATAAACATCACTTAGATGTTTAGCATTCAAGCATAATTAAAAGTACAGGAATAAAGGGCAATTAGCGAGAATCTCAGGGATACTTACTTCTTTAGAAAATCTTGAAAGTCAGCTGGCAAGTCACTGGGGATGGTCACAGGGTATTCTCCACATTCTTGTCCTTGGCTGAGCGAGAGCAGCAGGAGGCCAAGATGCCAAACATCCCCTTTTTTCCCCGTTTTGTATGGCAGGGCACTGTCACTAAAACGGACTCGGGTTTGCTCAAACACATCCTCCTTGCAAATGTCTGCTAGGCGTTTAGAAATGCTGTAATCCGTAATCTTGACGGTGCCCTCTGCGTCCACCAAGACATTTGATAAACTCAGAACTTTGTGCACCACAGAATTGCTGTGCAAATAGTCAAGGCCCGACAAGAGCTGAGCTGCATACCGTCGAAGCTGATGCACGGGCATGGGGCCTGAGTGGCTCAGGTGTACAGCAAGGGAGACCCCATTAAAGTGCTCCACTAAAATGTGCACCATGATGGAGTCGTCTTGCTCTTTGAGATTCATTGCAAAGTAGCGCACTACATTGGCATGGCTCAATTTTACCAGTGAGCTGAATTCTGTTTCTGCCCCTTGAATCTGATAAGGAAAAACAAAACCAAAAAAACCCCAGTAATATTGGGTTGATCAGCATTAACTGGTGTTTCACCTCAAAAGTGAAATATTTAGTAGAAAATGTACTTTCAAAGGAGAGTAGAAGGAATATGCCCTGAACTGAATCCCCCCTTAAACCGTATGATCAATGTCATAGTTCATAAAGATGGAAAACATCTAGTTAATTCTCAACTTCTTTGATCTCAAAGCCCAGTGTTCAAATACTATAAAATTAGTGAAGAGTTTTTAAAATTTCTTTTGTGATATGGCCACCAGAAAAAAGAAACAATTTTAAAACAACCTTTTCTGATTATAAAGATTCACTGTCAAAATTTCAATAAGTACTAATACAAAAAAGTGCCCCCACAAATTGGCCATGTGGTTACCACCCAGAGACAACTGTTATGATTTTGGGTATTTACTTACAGTTTTCCTGCTACCAAAAATACACACACACACTTCTAAACACAAGGCTCTACCTACTGTTTTATAACCATTTTCTTATGTAACACTACAATATTCAATATTAAATGTTCTCTTTAAACTCAGTAATATAAATTAATTCTAAAATTCTCCAGTCCTCTAGAATTCAGTTTTGAAGCAATATTTCAAAAGATTGTAAAAAGCACAGGATTATGAAGTACTATTTAATTCTAGTTGGAGAGATGGCTATTAATGTTATAATAAAGGCTGAGAAAGGAGGTTAAGGAAACAGCTGTAGAAGTTTGGACCATGCTGTGAAAGTTCTGAAAGAGGCAGCAAGGGGCTGAGGAAACTCTGGTGAAGAGCTGGTCCCCAGCCATCCCTTCTGGTTAAACAGATCGCATACCATTCTGGATTACTTTTACTAGCCAATCAAATGCAGAGCTGTTTTGTTTAAGAGATTAGGCCTTTTGCTTAGTGAGCCATCTTGGATGCCTACCTGCTTTTTGCACTTATCAATCTTCTCTTTTTCTTGACTGGTAAGGAACAGGCCCATCTTTTTCTGCCACTGAAGGACCCACTCATACAACAAGACAAAGCTGCCAGTGGCTGCTTCCAAAGCATTGTAAACTAATTTTCCAAGCTGCTCATCACTGCCTGCACATTAAAAGAAAATGTATTAAAATCTCACTGGTACATTTTTTGTGGGGATAAAACAAGAGGGCATATGTATTTATTCATTCAACAGTGGATACCAGGTACTTATAAAAAAATGATTTCATGGAATACATGCTCTTTTGTAACCAATCTTTAATATTTAACAATATACCCTGAGCCCTAAAATATTAATTACTATAAAGGAACAAGACTCAACAATAGAGCTTAGTATCAGACCAATGCTTTCTTCTACTAGCCACTATTCACAATGTCACTTTCATAGTTCACCTCTGATGACTGTGCCTACTGGTGTAATAGTGTATTCTCACACAAGCTAAATACTGTGACAGAAGGGATTTGGAATCAGGAACACTCCACCAAGATTACTCCATCAGTGTAGATTGGTGTGCACAGTAAAAACAGATTTTAGTAATTTGGAAACTTGAAAACATCAGTGATTTTCTAAATACCAAATTTGAATATGCTCAGTAAATACAAACAGGCTAATAGTTTCGAAGGAAGGAACAACAAATGACAGTTTACTCTGAAGCTAGAAAAAGACACATTTATTTATTGATAGGCACATGATTTTCACTTCTACCTAGAGAGCTAAATTTCTGTAACACCAAAAATTGTCTTATAAAAATGTATATTTTCTTCTTTGAAATTTTTTATTAAAGTACAGTTGGCACATAGTATTATATTAGTTTCAGGTGTACAACATAGTGACATTTATATACCTTATGATGTGATCATCACAATAAGTCTAGTAGCCAGCCATCTGCCATCACTCAAAGTTATTATGATATTATTGGCTATCGTCCCTGTGCTATACATAAAAGTCTGTATTTTCATTAAAGATAATAGGAAATTACCAAAATATTGGAAATGGAAAAAAATATCACCCACAATATCACCATTTTATTTCTTTTCTAGTTCCCTCTATCCTTTTCCCCCCTAATTTGCCAAATCGTTGTATAACAGGGTTTCTCACCCTTGACACAATTGATATTTTGGACCAGAAAATCCTTTGTTGAAGGGGGCTCCTTGTGCACTGCAAGATGTTTAGCAGCATCCCTAATCTCTACCCTCTAGGTGCCAGCAGCACCCCCACTCTAGTCTTAACCACTAAAAATGTCTCCAAATGTCCCCGAGGGGACAAAATCACTCCAATGGAGAATCAAGGATGTATAGCATTCTTTTCCTCTTAGTATATAAATAACAGTTTTCCTTGATGCTGTATTGTCTTCATAATGAAAAAAAATTTTCAAAGAAACTGATAATTTTTTCCATTAAAAAAATGAAACGAAAAGTAACCTGTATATATAAGACACAGTCGTCTTAGCAAATATACTTTTGGGAAATATGACTGAAAGAGCTCACTGAGACTTTTTATCTGAGAAGCAGTTTTTACTTCACAGAAATGCTTACAATTTAAGAAAATTTAATTAAAATGATCTGTTATGCTGTACATAATTAATACCTGACATTCTCAGACTAAGAAAAAACCCTGATATTTGAAAATTTGTCAACCAATGTGGAATGTGGGATCTAAGCAGTACACATTAGCGACACAAGATATTAAGTGTTTATGGGATTAAGTGTCATGTTATTTACATAAAGCCAAGTTAAATTTGTGCATTATGCAGTGCAGTGTCTTGCAATATTTCTCCCCAATTGGGCCTAGCTGGGTATTTCATGATTCTTGGTTGCTTTTGGGGTTTTTTGGGTTTTTTTTGTATTATAATTTTATTATTGCCATCCTCTTCTGTCTCTTTTTGGTGATTGGGATAATAACAGACAAAAGAAATACTGCAATGAGTCTAAATGAAAACACGTTACCAAAAGAATTCTAACTGATACTCTGTTATGTGTGAACAATCATCATTTCCCCAATAAAATCTAAATAAATAAATAAATAAATAAATAAATAAAAATTTCAGATTGAAAACGTATCTCCTAATGAGGGTCTTAACTAAGGTGAATCTGTCTAATGAATACTGATGAGAATAAGAGACCTAGTTAAGGTAATAAGAAGTTCATTTCCCTTCCTAATCTCCTCAGATTATTAAAAGTAGTTGAGTTTTATGCTGCCAGTTCATGAGACTGAAATGCCTCTGAGTCACGGACAGTCTGAGGACTAAAGCTAGTCATCTCTACCAAAGTCTTGAACCTGCCCAATGGTTGCTTTGTCTGAACAAACAGGGCAAGCCCTGTGTATGTGCAGAATCCTGCACAGTCCAGGCTGCTTTCAGGCAGCCAAGGTTGAGTATCCAGTTCATAGACTATTCAAATATTTGGTTTCTTCTCCCTCCACCTGCTGCCAGGGAGCTCCCCTGCTTATTTGCATCTCCTTCAAGAGGAAAGGAAAAAGACACTGAAAGAAAGCAAACTCGATTTCGATTTAGGTAATCTGGCTACTGGTTTGCTCTGATAAGACTATTCACGGGATTCAAAATTAAACTCAGGGCCGGCTGAGTGGCTCAGTTGGTTAAGAGTTCGCTCAACAGTGCGAGCTCTGAGCAACAGCAGTTTGAGTCTCAGCCCGAGCTGAGCTACCACTGAGTTGCCAACAGGTGACAGGATGGCTCAGCTAAAAAAAAAAAAATTAAACTTAATTGTTGAATTTATGATATGCAAGTGATCACTACCCCAATTAGAGGCTTTATTTGTATGGCTGATAAAAGATGACGTACGTTTAAGGCAGAGGAGTAGGTACTGAAACCCAGATTTTAATATAAACAATTCAAATCCCAAATTGCCGAACCGCTTCACTCCCAACAGCCATCAGTAGACAAAACTTCTAAATAAGGCATACAGAATAATAAAGTGCTATTCCTAGTCATGAACAGCATGCCAAGCAGAAAAATGCTAAGCAGATAGATCTCAACTTAAGAAAATGGGACTTGGTCATTAAAGATCACAGGCATTAGAATTCATTTTGTTATATGTATTTTATCAAGAATAGATGCATGTGATACAAAATTTTACTGATTCATAATGTTTCAATCATTTTGGCTTCAAAAAGCTTGACTAATTATAATGATGACAAACTTTAAATTATCTTTCTCACAATATTTCCAAGAACCTAGGTTTTAATTTATCTTACAGAAGGGGAACTTGAGTGACTTCTCATTCTGGTCATTAGGAATGGAAGCTAGAGTGACAACTATTAAGGAAGACTTAATAATCTTCCTTGGACTGCTGGTCCAGACAACACAGTGTCTATTCTACCCTGTTCCTTCATGATGAACTTTTATTGTTAGAATAATTTAAATGAATTTAGCTAGTTTACTCACCAATACATTTTCCTTTGTATACCATGCGCTGATCAGGATTACCCACAGAGAAATACAGGATTTCACAAGAGCCAGGGGAATCTTCACCACTGTGTACGGAACACTGACGCTCTCGCCTTAAAAATAAATTTGGACAATGATTTTCTTTTCAACTTAAGATGAATGCAGGAAATTCTTGCCCCTCCATTTTCCCTTCTTTACTAGCCCATTTACCATCTAACACCTGTCTCTACTGGGAATTGAGTTGAAGGCGGTAATGGGAAAGTTATTCAACTTGCCCACTCCCCACGGAGGTCTTCTCCACATGAACGCCACAAACTCCTAACTCTAGATCTGTGTTGTCCAACATGGTAGCCAATAGCCACATGCGGCTACCTAAATTTAAATTAATTAAAATTAAATTAAAACTCAGTTCTTTAACTATAGTAGCCACATTTAAGAACTCAGTAGCCATGAGTAGCCGGTGGCTACCATATCAGACAGCATTGATATAAAACATTTCCATCATCACAGCAGTTCCACAGCAGTGATTTAGCTCAATCCCACATTGATTCCATAATGTCTTCATTCCCATGCACATGTATATCTGGAGAAAGCTGAAAAACAGGAGATGTCGGAGCACTACAAATTCCTGGTCTCCACTTAGGCCCCCAAACCACTGAATGCTTATTCATTCTCTTACTTGTCTTTGGTAGATACTCTGCCAATGCCCTCCTTGACTTCTCCAAAATACTTAAAGCCCAACTCCTCCTCCCGTCCTTCCCTTTTCTACTTTTTTTTTCTGAGGGGGGAGCAACAACTATGTAGCTAGATTATAATGCACAGATCATGAATAAATTGGGGGGCGGGGTGTTGCAGGGAAGAGGCCAGGGAGAGAGCCCTTGATGGTCAGAATTGAACAGTTATAAGAAATGCTTTCATGGGGCACATGGACAGATCTGTAGAAAGAAGCCCCCTCACTCTATGAATGATCTTCATTTCTACTTTCACTGATCACATGAAGCAACGAGGAGTGAAGCCCACACTTCTCACTGTTCGACTTATGAAGTTACTTGGAATCTGTAGCATTCTTTCTTTTTCCCAGGCTCTAAGGAGGGTCAGCTACCCTGCCCCGAATTCCATTCCCTACAGTCTCCTTTGGGATCTTGGTCTATCAGCTCATCCCTCTCTCCTGTATGTTCAGTCTGTCCCTCTAGATTAGCTCTTTTGCCTCAGCCTATACATCTCTCTCATCTCTTCTGGCACCCCCTCAGTCTTGCACCCCACCTCCTCTCGTTCTTCGTTTTCAAACTTCTACACTTGCTGTCTCTACTTCTGCCCTTCTATTTACTCCTCATACTACTACAATGTCAATAAAACTGCCAGCTCCCTCCTACCCACTCTCTATCTGACTTTCCCCTTGGTTCTTTTATTTTGGTTCATGGCGTTGTCATCCATTCTGTTTCAACAGTAAAAAATGTGTGAGTCTCCCTATTTGAAAATCCATCAGATTTCACTGCAAGTTGACTTATTCCTTCTACATCTTTCATTCTTCCAGATCAGAAGTCTCAGGAACTTACCTGGACCTTCCAGAGGAGTTGGTCCTATGTTTACTATTTCCTACCAAGTCGGGAGCGCCTCCATGTAGAATGGCAGCTGTTCTGTGTCCTCCTGGGTCCTTCCTAGAGGTATGATCTTGGTTTGACAAACTAGCAATTTCCAAACGTTCCTAGAAAAAAGAAAAGTAAAACCTACTTTAGACATCAATCAGAAAGTGAAGACAATCATGGTACATAATCATGAAGTCAGAAGAGAGTGCACATTTTATTTGAGCTGAATGCTTTCAAGTGTAATAAAGTTGAACTCAACTTTTAAAAATTTAATGCCCATATATGTACTGGTTCAAAAACTGAAGGTCAGGTTATGCTTTCAAGAGAATGTATATTTATCAATGAAAACACTAGAATCTTGGAATATGCATGAAAAGTTAGAAAGAAGAGCAAGAGAAGATGATGAGAAGGAGGCATTCAAAGAGAGAGCAAGTGGCAGACGGGAAGGCGGATTAGACCTAAGACAGGAATGTTGGTGGAGACAGGAATATCATCTTACATTTGTACATTCAGAGGGCAGTGCATTTATCTGTGGGAATAATTACATGAGACATAAAGGAAGGCATCTTCAATCCCATTTTAAGGCATGAGGAAAAGGAGTCACAGAGGGTGTCACCTAAAGGTCAAAGAGCTAGGCAGTAAAAAGCCAAAACTTTAAGCCAGGTGCTACTTACTTATACGTCAGTGCCTCCTCCCACTATACCTCATCATTTCCTTTAGGTTAAATGCTATAATTCTATAAAAGAGAGTAAGTGAAATTTTCTCTAGGTTTCTCCAAACATGTATTAACTGGCTTTTGGGTGGAGCTGGACTCAGGAAAAATATAGGAAAAAGGACATTAGCCTTTTTCACCACTGCTTTTTAAACTGCTCTGTTGAGTCTTTCTTTTCATCACTGAACGAAATCTCAAACAGGTCTATATGGTTTATATTCATTATTTAGTATGAACAAATTGCTTTATTTTCCAAGGGTTAAGAATTCCAGTCTGGGTTAATTATCAAAGCTTCCATCTCTTCTCTCCGTCGACTCATTTGATAAACTACTACAGTTAAGTCATCTACGGCCTAAGTCATTTACAGATAATACACAATTCTAAATTTTGCTTCCTGTTTGGGGATCATTTTAGTGCTTCATTTTAAGCTTTACTATTGATAGTAACACAGGCGGGGAAAATACCATTAATGGCAACAAGAAGATTTTATGTTTAGCAAAGTTTAAACTATTTTAGTGTGGTAGAATTGATAGAGTACCTGCTTGGCCATTTCTTTCCTTTTTTTCTCTTCTTTTATCTCATCTTTCCTTCTCTGAATCTCATGAAGGATTTCACGTTGCTGAAAGAAATCATATCGCCATCAAATGCCAGTCTCTGAAACCTCTACAACATATAGATTCCAAAATCACAAAAACTCTTGTGAATTGCAAAAAAAAAAAAAAAAAATCAAGGCCTCTTTTCCTAAGAGACCTGAATATATAGAACCTTAGTACAAATTGTGGTTACATCAGTTTTATCAGAGTTCTTATGCAATAGGCATTCCCATTTAAATAAGTATCAAGACGATGTGGGGAGGGGGCACTCATCCCCCCACTCTTATATTTCCACGTGGAGAGACTTTCACCATAGCAACACTGCTGGTTTCTCACTTCTCCCCACACTTGACAAAGACCTAGACATCTTTGATGTCTGCCTGTCTGCGGAGAACATGCACTTGTGCCTGCTCTCTGCCATGAGGTGTGGGGCAGACTTGGTGGAGGTGGGCTGAGCTGTCCTCAGCGCCTGGACCCAGGGTGGGACGGGCGCCACCCCCACACATGCCATAGGCTGTCAGCTGCGTTCTCCAGTCAGCTTTCTCAGTATTAAAACTGGTATTTTGATCCTCATCCAATTGCTTCATGTATCTATTGCTCAGTTGGGTCCGAAATTAGATAGGGAAGAAATAATGTGTTTTTTTATGAGTCCCCTAAATTTCCAGATTGTAATATCAAAACCATTAAGAGACTCACCAAAAACTGTAACAGCAATAATACAAAATGAAAAAACATACCTAGAACTTATATAGGTAGTTATAGCAGTATACCAAAACAAGATTGTTAGCTACATATTTACTATCTTCTAATAAAAATGTGCCTTTCTAAACACAATGATACTAAGCTTTACATTTTGGGTGGCTGGTTAGCTCAGTTGGTTAGAGTGCAGTGCTCATAACACCAAGGTTGCTGGTTTGATTCCCGCATAGACCACTGAGCTGCACCCTCCGCAACTAGATTGAAACAACTACTTGACTTCGAGCTGATGGGTCCTGGAAAAACACAGTTTCCCAATAAAAAAAAATAAGAAGCTTTAAATTCTAAATGATAACTAGGCTACACAATTAAATAGGAGATAAGCAGTAATAAAGTGAATGGGACCCACAGAGAGACTGTTAACATAAGCACAGGATGAACAAAATGAACCAGGAAAAAAAAAGGAAAAGCAGGAGAAACAAAATCCTAGACGTAACTATAAGAAAAAGTAACATTCATAGAAAGACAATCAGAACGCCTCACTAACTTAAAAATGGAGAAGGAAACTGAGGAGTGCATATTGACTTTGATTAAAGGATTTTTAAAATAACACAGGAGTGTATATAAGCAAATAAAGAAAATACAGATGGTTAGAGAACATAAAAGCAACTCAATCTCTGCCTTTTGCTACTTATTTGGGCATGCAATACTCGTCCCACAGAGGGAAGAAGAAAATAGCCTCTAAAACTCAGGGAATTCCTGCACAACTTTACCAGTGTAGAAAGAGCAAAAGAAGCCTGGTTAAACGGACTTCTTTTTTCTTTTCTTTTATTGAAAGACCTGCACTAAGGGCCCTAAGGCAGCATTTGATGTTTGTTGGGAGGGAACGACTGGTAGAATCTTTCAGTTCCTCATGTGGATTCACACGAATCCACAGTTCTTGAGTCCAATGCTGAGCAAAACGTCAATAAAGATAGCTGTGTAGGCAGACACACAGGTACAACCTATAGAAGCTCGCAGGCCTCCCGGCTGGCCGCCTGTGGCGACAAGGGTCTCACCTCTTGCTCCTCCTTCCGCTTGGCCTCTAACAGCCTCTGCTGCTCCTCCTGAGCCCGCCTTTCCAGCATTTCTTCATGAAAAGACTTGGGAGGGGGCTTGTTATGCTCGCTGAGAAATGACTGCACGTGGTAAGCCAGTTCAAATATCATCACCTAAACATGTAGATGAAAATCAACCACAAATGGTCACATAATGGGGAAGACAGGAGCCCAAAGGAAACTACAGAAAAACATGCAGGCAATCAGAGATCCACTCACAATAGTGACGTTCATTTAGGTAGGACACGCTCTGAATTAGGTCCATGAGGCTAGCGCAGCAGGAAAAGGCCTTTACGGGGCTCATCGTATCATGTTGTTACACTAGGTAAATAAAAAGCTTCACTTGTCTTTTGGAGTCCTAGTCGATTTATTGGCATTTTCTGTATAATAAATCTGATAAAATGTTTTTCTGTACCAATAAACCTAATAAAATATTTAAGACTGCCTAAAAGTAAAAACTACCTTCCCAGCTAGAAAACCTGTCTACCTAATGACAGTTGAACAGAGAACCATCATTGTTAACAACAGAGCTTTCATCTGTTCACACAGGGTACGGAGGCTGATATTTAAAGCCCTCATTATCTCCCTGCTAGTAATGGGCCAGTAGGAGGCTGATCAATACTGAGAAAGCATTTCATTTCCACTTAGGGACACCTTCACAGACAGTAGAGAAGAAAGAAAGGCCCCCTCTCAGACGTTCTTTATGTGACCATAGGAAGCCACTTTCCCCTGCTCCAGGAGTCATAAATCATAGCAGGGCTAGTAAATCAACAGAACAGGGCTTCTGGGACCCCACACTGACTAACTACCCTATCCCCAAAGAGGTCAAGAGTGCCATGCTCCTTCTGCAGATGAGGACCACCACACTGAGATTTCTTTTTCCTCTATTACAATCAGGCAGCTTAAAAATTATTTCAGGGCTGGCCGAGTGGCACGTTGGTTGAGAGCTGGCTTGAGACACCAGCTCTGAGCAGCAGGGCCCCAGTTCAGATCCCACACGGGGGCCAGTGACGCTGCGCCCTCTATAGCTAAGATGGTGAACAACAGCTCCACCTGGAGCTGGGCTGCTGTGAGTTGCCAGCAACAGCGTAGGCTGCAGCCCCTACTGCAGCGGGCTGCCATACGCTACCGTGTATGGCTGGCAGCCAGCATCAGTGGCTGGCAGCCGGTGTGAGCTGCCAAGAGCCGCCGTGAGCAGCCGTCCAGAGGCTGGCGACCAATCTGCCTCACCCGGGAAGAGTGCAATGATAATACCAACATGGACCAGTGAAGCGACGTCCTCCACAACTAGACTGTAGAACAAAATGACAGCAACTTGTCTGTTCCCCCTTCCCCTGATTCTCCAGTGCTATTCCCCTCCCCCAATTCCCCAATAAAATTAAAAAAAAAAAAAGAACTCATACAACTCAATAGCAAAAAAATCAAACAATCCAATTAAAAAATGGGCAGAGGAACTCAACAGATATTTTTCCAAAAATGACATACAAATGGCCAATAGGTACATGTAAAGGTATCAAATGTCACTTAATTATCAGGGAAATGCAAATCAAAACCACAGTGAGATATCACCTCACACGTTAGAATGGCTATTATAAAAAAGATAAGAAATAAAAATGGTGAGGATGTGGAGAAAAGGGAACCCTCATGCACTGTTGGTGGGATTGCAAATTGGTGCAACCACTATAGAAAACAGTATGGCGGTTCCTCAAAAAATTAAAAATAGAACTACAACATCATCTAGCAATCCCACTTCTGGGTATATATTCAAAGGAAAACAGGATCTTGAAGAGATATTTGCACTCCCATGTTATCACAGCTTTATTTACAAAAGCCAAGACATAAAAACAACCTACGTATCAATACAGAAATGAACGAAGAAGATGTGGAATATATACACAATGGAATACTACTCAGCCATAAAGAAGGATGTCCTGATGGACCTTCAGGGCATTGTGCTAAGTGAAATAAGTCAGAGAAGGAAAACCACTGTACGATAGCATTTATATGTGGAATCTAAAAATGTGGAACTCACAGAAACAGAGATTAGCATGGTGGTTGCCAGGGTTTGGGGGTGGGGGAATAGGACCAATGTTGGTCAAAGGGTACAAACTTCCAGTTATAAGATGAATACATTTTGGGAATCTAATATACAACAGAGTGATTACAGTTAATAATACTGTATTGTAAAAAACATACAGCAAAAAAATTTTTCAAAAAAACTCATAGGTCATGAATTCAAGAAACCAGAGGATTCTATAGTTGAATTTTCAATATAACTTCATATTATTTTTCAATTACACATAAAAGTCCCCTTACACTAGAAAGAGCTTTGGAATAATTCTCAACACCTAATGCTTTTGTCTGAGCTGTTTCTACAAACACTTTCTGTACCTCCACAATCACTGAAGTTTGTGGAAACAGCAATGTAAGTGGGCAGAGCTTTTACAGCCAAAAAGCACCTCACGGGTCACGCTGTGACTCATTGTGATAGAGAATGCAAGTGAAAAACTGTGCAGGCACTTCACTAGAGGTCCAAAACAGAAACAGAGGCCTAGGGCTAGGCTTTCCTTAACTCTTCTCAGTTTTTACAGGATGGGACAGTTAAACATGAGCTGCCTAGGCAAAAACACTGAGCGACTTTACACAACAGTGAGGATGATACATAAAGGGGATTGGTCTGTCCTAACGAAGACACAGTAATACTCAGCCCTAAGCAGTCACCTAGGCTAGCCCTCCAGGGGGAGAACTCATGCAGACACTGATGTGCAGAGGACTCAGAAAGAGTGTTAGTACTGACCCAAGTATAAATGTTCGGGTAGAGAAAGAGACGTTGAAGGATGACAGCATGTCACTAATTACCGACAAGGAAAACAATTAGTTCTTCTGATGTGAAAAGAGAAGTGACAAAAGGTTTGGTCAGAAATCACTTGTCTGTAAACATTTCCAACACAAAGGTTCAAATCAAGATCAGGTCATGATGCCAGGTCCACACTATGCAAAATGTAGGGTCAGGTTCACATGAACCGTTTTCTGAAAAATTCTTTAGCATCAATAATACCATCTATATATACGCTACAATTTTTAATTCACGCATACTATAAATTAAAGAAATAGAAATAGCAATGTTCCCCTTTGTAGATATCAATATGAAACAAAACCTTATAGTCAAAATTGGAGTTGATGTACAATGGAAAAACCTTTAAGCCAAAGAAAAGCCAGGAAGGCATGCACTGGTAAACATGATGAAGATTTTTACTGTAATTATAATATAGTTCCAGTTCTTATAATTCTGGTTAAACAACTCTCACCTCTCCACAATGTTTTTTGGCAACTTCTTCCAGGCCGTGTTTTAACAAATTAACACTTTCATTTGACAGACCCTTGGCATTCTTTAACTCTATTTCAGGGACTCTGGAAAAGAAACAAAACCAACAAGCAGTTACTTCCGAAAATGTAGCTTGTTTGCATTAATATTTGCTAAGTTCCAAGCACTAGGTCTGGAGATTTCATACAGGCCTCATTTGCAAACCTCTCTATACTCCCAGCAACATTTCCCTTCTCCTCCAGAGGATTTCATCTATACCTTATCAGGGTGTCACCTGTGGCCTGTGGGGAGCAAGTGGGCTAGCCAGTCATCAACCAGTATGGGCTGTCAGGTGTCCTGCACCCAGAGACAACCAGGCTTACTGGGGCTTGAACCACATCAACTACTATTTCATCACCTTAAAAAAAAAAAATCACTCCAGCTCCGTGTGTAAGGTAACCATGCAGACCCTTTTATGGTAATATTCGACCCTGGCTTGCCCCAGGTATCAACTCATCCAGCTCTAACAGCTCACCCGCAAGAGGCCAACTGCTTGCTCTAGTTCATGTGCTGTAGCATAAACCAGGACAATAACTAGGCCACATGGAGCCACAATGATGGAGCCACAATGATCCAGCTAGTATTCCCACAACATGCTGTGTCCAGTCACTCACAGTGATTGCAAACAAGGTGGAAAAATGCTCCCTCACTCCTGCATAAATCTAGTCCTGCACGCCCTGCAAACTGCCTGTTCCGTAGAGGCCTAACTTACACTCCTATTCATCCCTATAGAGCACAACTAAGACTCAACACTGTCTACTCAAGAAAAGTACACAGCCGGCCTTCAGGTTTCCTTGTATTCCCAACCAATAAGCATCCAATAACAATTCACTGAGGTTAAATAGGCTTTATTTCAGTTTACTGAAAAGATGATTCTCTACTTCCCACCAAGCATTTCTGAGTAATTCATGGTATTTTAATTAGCACAGCCTTTACTGCTCAGTATCTATGAGTTCTCTCAATGCTTGTTATAATAGGTTGCTATACTCATTATCTATCTGGATAGATGGAAATCTGAGAGAAAATAGTTTATATATATGAGAAAAAAAAAAAAAAGATCTACTATATAGCCCTGAGTCTATGCATGGTTCATTTAACCCAGGAGTCTCTCATTGTGGCATCAAGGACTATTTTGCAGAAAAGGAAACTTTTCCTGCATCATATCACCTCAAAGGATAGAAACATTCCCCCAAATCAAGCCTTAATTTTTAAAAAAAAATCAAGCAGTCATTATATAGTAATATTAACAAAATGGTGAAAACTTCATCTACAATACTAATCAAATTAAAAAATGTTTCCAATGTTCTCTTTATGCCTTTGTCAAATAATTCATAATTTTATGTACATAATAATATGTTTACTTTTTAACTTTTTATAAGCATTTCCATGTTGTTTTTTTAAAAATCATCCCATAATATTTTCACCAAGCAGACACATCAAAATTTACCTGAATATTTCTCTAATGCAGTGGTTAGAGTGGTGACTGTGTCCCCCCAGGGGACATCGGTCAATGTCAAGAGGGCACAGAAGCTCCACATCCCTCCCTAGATTCCTTGCCAACTTATCGCTTCCATGGGGCTGTTCCTAAGTTGTATCCTTTATAATAAACTGGCAATAGTAAGGAAGGTGCCTTCCTGAGTTCTGTGAGCTGTTCTACAATAGCAAATTAAGGAACCTGAGGAGGGGGTTGTGGGAACCTGTGAATGTGTATCCAGTTGGTCAGAAGCAGTGGTACTTGTGAATGGCCTTTAAAGCCTGTGGGACTGAACCCTTAACCAATGGGGTCTGCAATAACTATGAATTAGTTTGTGTCAGAGCTGAATTGAATTGTTGGACACCCAGTTGGTGTCAGAAAAGACATCACCTATTTGGTGTCAGGAAAAATAAAACCTAGAGAAGCACTGTCTTATTTTTCTTGCATAAATTTAATTACCTTTTAATCAATTCAATCTACTCTAGGTACAGTGTTGGGGACAAAAGAGGGTTACTGACTTCCAGGCGCTCATCCTGACCTAACTGTATTTTCACATCCTCCATCGCCTCTTAGGATAACAAATTCCATAAGTTTACCATCTGCTGTGCAAGGCAGAGCTGCCTTTTATTTATCACTGTCCTTCATAGGTTCCCTGCACAGTAAGTTCAAACCATAAAACAAGAGATCCAGGCCAATCTGCCTTTCCCTGTGGAATGTCTGGGGAAAGATCACACGGAACATACACGATACTTCAAAAAAAGAATACTTGAGTCCCAATTGTTAACACTTTCACTCTAGTGTTACAGTGGTTCTCAACCAGAGGTGGTATCACCTTCAGGGGGAGTTTGGATATATGTAGGGTTTTGGGATTGTCTCAGTGGCTGGAGAGCCCTCCTAGCATTAGTCGGGAGGGGTTAGGGATGCCACATGCCCTGCAGGGCTTCTCTAAATCCTCCTTTACTCTAGGAAGTAAAGTCCCATTCGGCCCAGAGTCCTAATGTCAACCATGCTTTAAAACTAAGTACAAGGGCTGGCCGAGTGGCGCGATGGTTAAGAACTCGCTTGGGATGCCAGAGGGCCCCGGTTCGGATCCCACATATGAGGGCCAGTGACACTGCCCTCCACAGCTAAGATGCTGAACAACAGCTCAACCTGGAGCTGGGCTGCCATGAGTCGCCGGCGACGGCGTGGGCTGCAGTCCCTGTGGCAGTGGATTGCCATGGGCTACCGTGTGTGGCCAGCAGCCAGCGTGAGCGGCCAGCAGCCGCAGTGAGCGGCCGTCCAGAAGCCAGCGACTGATCTGCCTCGCCAGAGAAGAGCGCAATGATGGTGCCAACTTGGGCCAGTGAAGCAATGTCCTCCACAACTAGACTGAAGAACAAAACGACAGCAACTTGTCTGTTCCCCTTCCCCCAATTCCCCAGCACTGTTCCCATCCCCCCAATTCCCCAATAAAAATATTAAAAAAAAACAAAAAAAACAAAAAAAAAACAAACTAAGTACAAAAGTTACCATGCCTTTATCCTTTTCTTCTAGATTGTGTCTCTTTTCAGTTTATGATTAATTAAACAATCAAAAGTTAACACCTCAGAAGAAGCAATTAGTCACGGAGCAAACAGTAGCATACTCTATAACTAGAACCAGGTTTAACATGAGATAGGTTTTATGAAAATGTCTATTGCTGATATAGTTTTGATGAAATACGGGCAACAGGAAATGAAATTTTAAATGGAATGGGGGCAGGAAAAAGAGAGTACCATTAATTTCAACCCATTTCTATGTTGTCGAAAGAGAGAACTGAAATCACATCACAGCTATTTATAAGTGTACTCACACATCTGGGTAGGTTGGTGGGCATTTTACCCTCAAGTCCACTTTCACGTATACTTTTTCACCAGTCAGGCCCTGAGGGTACAGAACTAAATTGATTTCAGGGGGTCCTTTGACCTAAAAAAGAAAAAGAAATTATTTTTTATCTTGAGAGCCAATCATTAATGATTAAGATAATGATCATCTTAGTTCAAAAGTTCTACTTTTTAAATAATACATGTAATTATATCTGATATAGCAATTGGTCATATTTTCCTAAAGCAGTTTAAAAACAAAACCTGTGCTAGAGAGTGCATTTTCTTTTCCAAAATTATCTAAGGGGTGAGCCACAACGTTCCACGTGGCTTCCATTCATTCAAATGGTGCCGAGTGCTGATTATGTGCGAGTGCTGTCCTAGAGGTCGGCAGTATCGGGGTAACTTTAGACACACATGGGTCCAACTAGCTGATAAAAACTAGAAGACAAATGAATGCTTTCAAATAGTGGTGAGTGCTATAAAGAAAACAGGGCAGAAAAATAGAACACAGTGGTGGGGAGAAGATATTCAGACAGGTGGGTCAGGGAAGGCCTCCTGAGCAGGGGATATTTCACTTCAGAGTTGAATACTGAGATAATAACAAGTGAAAACTTGGACACGGAAATCTGATAGCTCTTCTAAAATTATGTATGCTTTCAATCAACTGCTTTTCAGTGTATCACTAAATACTCTATTGTCTTTTAATGTATTAAATACACTTTTTCCAAAAAAAAGATTTGAGGTGGTTTACATTATCTATATGTATCATGAGAAAAGGGAAGAAACATCTACTCATATGGTCCAGGCATTATACCAACACTGCAAGGTAGGTGCTATCTCCATTTTACAGAGGAGTAGCTCAGTCTCAGTCTCATGCCCACAGAGATACAGTGGTAAGGCTAGAATTCAAGTCCAACTTTGACTCCCAAACCTGTGTCTTTTTCATCAGCCACTCCCTGGTTAGAGCCAATCCTGAGTTGCTGTGACTGAGTTGTTGCCTTAACTTTGTCTCAGAATGTCCAGGCAGCCAGGGCAAAAAAAGAAATGTGACATTACTTCACAGAAGAGAGAAAGCATAAAAATTATTTTAGGGGCAACAAAGTACTTGGCAATACTAAACTCCAGCAGAAATGTATAACCTGAAGCTTACATATGGTACCCTGAATTACATAATAAACAAAGTTCTCATTAACTATGTATAAAATATGTAAGCTCAGTTTTTATGTGGCTTTATAATAATCCTTGACGAAAGCTGTAGTAAAGCTGAGGAAAGCACGATTCTGTGAACCTGGTCCTGCCTGGGGAGGGATCAACATCCGTGATCCTCAAGGCCTTTAATCCACTCATTCACTCATAATGTGTCGTCAGCCACACTTATCGAGCCCTGACTCTGCCAGACACGATTAGCGCACACCGGTGAGAAAACAGATGTTCCAGCTGTCACGGAACTTCAGGTCTGGTGGAGGAAAACAAACAATTCATATGTACGTACAAGTTTAGAACGTACTACTGAATAGGTGATGTGATATCCTTGTGATACAGAATAATAGGCCACCCTAAAATAGGCCACTTTGGCCTAAGGATTATTTTGAGCTAAAGGTGTTTGAAAACAGCAAGTACAGGAAGGGCATTCTGGCTTCCTCTTTTCTTCCTGAAAGCAGAAGAGAAAGCGCCCATGTGAAAGATGCCCTTCTATGCCAGGAAGAAAGAAATATTCTTATGACCAGAGAACAGGGAGTTGAGGCCAAGAGAATTCTGTACAAACAGACCTTGTTACAAGAACTCATTTTCCTTTAGTCTCCCCATATATTCTAGTTACTTTTCTACAGTTGCCTCTCTTTGTTCAGCCTACTGTATCAACACGTTAGGCCTAGCCCCTTCTTTGGGTCTTCATTTTCCTATGGGGCTTCCTATGTACGTCTAAAAATCTGCATGCTTTCCTTCTGTTGATCATCTCACAGGCCACACATTTTGAAGAGACATCATGATCACCAACTTAAATTTGTCAAGGAAATGCTTTTGTGTTTCCTCTTTACTGTATATATCACTTCTGAAGATACAGAATATTTTAGTACCAAAAGTAGGAGGAAGGACAAAAATAGAGTAGAGCTTAGTCTTATCCTAAGAAGGGTCAATTTATCTTATGCTAATATGTCTTCCCTTATACATCATTCTGCCTTTTATTCTCTCATTTGATTGTTGACCAGTGAAAACTTTATCTCAGATCTAATGAGAATACTGCTCTAAATCCATACGGATGGACAGCTTAAAAGAGGCAAAAGATCGGTCATAAAGAAGGATGAAATATTACCATTTGCAACGACATGGAAAGACCTAGAGAATATTATGCTAAGTCAGACGGACTTATAAGTCAGGTGGAGAAAGACAAATACCATATGATCTTACTTATATGTGGAATCTAAAGAATAGAATGAACAAACAAAACAGAAATAGACTCAAAGATAAAGGGAAAAAAATCTGAATGTTGCTAGGGAGAGGGGGGTGGGGATGGAGGAGAAAGGAAAGGGATTAGAAAGTACAAATTAGTAATCACAATATAGCCATGGAGATATGAAATACAGTTTGGGGAATATAATCAATAATGTTATAAAGATTTTATAGGGGATCAAATGGGCACTTGTCTTATTAGGGAGACCACTTCATGGACTGTGTAGATGTCTGACCACTGTGTTGTACCCCTAAAGCTGAAGCTGAATAATGCTGAATGTCAAATATATATGGTCACGGGGTGTGGAATACAGCATAGGGAGTAGAGTCAATGTAAATGTAACAGCTATGTACGATATCAGAGGGGTAGTAGATTGGGGGAGGGGGGTTACCACTTTGTGAGGAGCGTAAATGTCTATTACATTGTTTTGTACAGCTGAAACTAAACAAAAAAAAAAGAAAAAGATTCGTGTTGGGGTAAAGGTCATGGTTAAGCGCAAGTTCAGGTTGATAATCAAGGTGAGAGTGAATGTGAGATTTAGCATGTCTAAGTGAGGCTCGGGGTCATTGTCAGAATGAGCATCATGGTTAGAGTCAGGTTAAGGATTATGGGTTGGGGCCAGTGTCAGCAAGAAGGTGAAAATCAAAATCAAGGTGAGGGTGAGTATATGTTTCAGGGTGAAAGTCAGGATGATGATCAGTGTGAGAGTCACGTTGAGGGCTAAGGTCATGATAAAAGTGAGAATGAGAATCAGAATTAGAGTGAGCATCAAGTAAGGGGTCAAGGTGAGAATGAGTCTCAGTGTCAGGTCCAGGCTTCGCTGAAAGGCTGGTCAAGGTTGCAGATCAGGTTCAGGATATGCATAGGTTCAAGGTTCAGTGAATGGTTTGGATAAAAGTAAGTGTCCTGGTGAAAAATAAGTGTCAGAGTCATGTTTAGGTTCAGGGTTACAGTGAGTAACATAGTAAGGGTCCGGGTTGCAGCATCAAGTTAAGGGTTAGGGGGGCCGGCCGAGTGGCGCGATGGTTAAGAACTTGCTTGGGATGCCAGAGGGCCCCGGTTTGGATCCCACATATGAGGGCCAGTGACACTGCCCTCTACAGCTAAGATGCTGAACAACAGCTCAACCTGGAGCTGGACTGCTGTGAGTCGCCGGCGACGGCGTGGGCTGCAGTCCCTTGTGGCAGTGGGTTGCCATGGGCTACCGTGTGTAGCCAGCAGCCAGCGTGAGCGGCCAGCAGCCGCAGTGAGCGGCCGTCCAGAAGCCGGCGACTGATGTGCCTCGCCTGGGAAGAGCGCAATGATGGTGCCAACTTGGGCCAGTGAAGCAACATCCTCCACAGCTAGACTGAAGAACAAAATGACAGCAACTTGTCTGTCCTCCTTCCCCCAATTCCCCAGCACTGTTCCCATCCCCCCAATTCACCAACAAAAATCTTTAAAAAAAAAAAAAAAGTTAAGGGTTAGGGTGAGAATGAGGTTCAGCATCTATTTCAGGGTTATGGTGATGATCAGGATCAAGAGGCATATGAAAAGGAGTATGAACTCAATGAGACTTGCGGTTCAGGGCATGGCTGGGACAAGTGTCCTTGACGAGGATCAGGGTCTAGGCAGTGTTTGGACAGAAGTCAGGGCAAGGGTCACAGTCAAGGTTAGGGTGAGTGTGTCAGCATTACATTAAAAAAACAAAAAGGCAAAAGAAATAAGAAGGTAAGAAAACAAGGGGAAATGCCATACAGGGGGGTCTTCTTATAGTAAAATATTCAAAACCCAACAAGTTCAATTATTAAGTCAAGATGTTAAAATGCAAGCACACCACTTAGGAATTAATGACAGATATTCTGTTTTTGAAGCAACAAAACTGGAGTAGCCCTTTTGAGTTGGAAGGAGAAAGAATCATGTAAATATAAGTAGAACTATAATTATCAGCAAGCTGTATAAGTGGAAACTACAATGCAAACCAAAGAATGGGCTTTTCTCGGGCCCAGTAGGGAAATGAACTTGCAACATACAGACAACATAAGAGATACCACAGGAAGTAATTTATCTCTGCATATCTAAGGTAACAAATTTAGTTTAACATTTTATCTTTATGAAGGAAGTGAAGAGCACATCTGAATGAAACTAACCTCCAGAAATGGTAGTGAGGCCTACACATTATGTCCAGTCATTGGAATCAGGAGCAAGCTTTAGCAAACAGAGGCCTATTGGGGGAACTACACATTTTGAAGATAGTCTTTACTAAAGGGAATGCTTAATAAAGCACAATAAATCCAGTTAAGGATTGCTGGCAAGCCGCTGGGAAGGAGGCCTCCCTCACCCAGCCCTTGGGACCACCAGGAAGAACATTGTATGTAGAACACTGGGGCCCAAAAAAGTTGTTAGGATCCTGCAAACACTCCTGGGTTGAACCAGCTATATAACCACGTTGGCCTAGTGTTCCAGTTACTTTCACAGCAGAGCAACACCAGCAGGATATCATTGATAACGGTGGTGAGCCCAGATAATGCCCCATCAAACTTTGAGGGAAGAGGAAAGAGTTTTGATGCAAAGTGAAGCGACTCCTGAATGCATAAAGGTTTCAGCTTTAAGAGGCACAGGAGTCCAGTGATGGTGGCTTGGATAAAGGAACAGACCAAAGGCCACTGAGG